GGCCTAGAGTTAAATCACAATTCTGCCACTTACTAGCTGTTTAACTTTAAGTTAAGTAAGTTTACTTAATTTCTCTGAGCCTCAGTGTGCTCGCCTATAAATGGAAATAAAGTCATCAACATTGTAAGGGCATTCAAATCCGAGCTAATGTTTCAGCCTTGTTCTTATAAGGAGTTCTGAGAACACAGAGAAGTTACTATCAAAAAATAAAAAATACATCAGATGCAAACTACACCACCAACCCAATCCATTTAAATCTATGTGAGGTCACATAGGAAACAGTTATTCCCTTTTCTTGATGAAATCCCGAGAAAATGAATGATGAATATGGACCCTGTAAGTTTCTAGAGTTGCAGGAATAAAAAGAGAGGTTTTGGTGGTCATTTCTGTAGAGCTATAAAAGTGGGATGGACAGCCAATGCAGTGAGGCATTCTAATCTTGTTAAGAAGCATCCTTAATGTTTTGGGGTACCATCAACTAAGGAGTGCTCCCTCCCAGAGAAATTGTGATCCCTGCGGCTGTCTAGGCAGACCATCAGCACTGCCTTCTCCAGAGGAAAACCCTTTGTGTTGCATGGAGTGAACTAAGAACTGCCAACCAGGTCTTTCACTTGATATGCAACTGTAATTTCCTTTGAATGCAAGAGGATTCAAGACTCGAGTACAGATTGGAAGCAATAAAACTTTCTCAACAAAACACCACAAAGCTGAATTAGAAAGCCTAACTGGGTTCTACAAACTGCTTTACTGCAAATATATTTTCCGAAGAGCATTCAGAGATTCAATGATCCTACCATGTGTAGGTAACTCTAACCAAGTCAGGCTGCATGGTCTACTGTATCATAGCAAGAACTGGATACAGGACCAATTACAGCCACAGCAGGTGGAGGGAACATACCTGGGTACTAACCTTCACTCTAAGCTCTGGGCATGAAGTCGATTCTGAATCAAATCCAAGATACTAAGCCTTATCCTCAGCACTAAAACCCAAGACTTCCCCTTAATAAGATCATAAGTTGATTCTTCTCAGAGTTAAAGTGCTCAGGTGAGCATTTCTAATTAAGGATCCTTTCATCACCAGTGCCTTGGGTCATACTTATCAGGCAATTTTTAATGAATTACCATTAAGTGGTAGTCCCCATAAAACAGATGAGATTATGTGAAAAATATGATCTCCACAAAAGAGGCTTATATTTTATTTTCAAGATGCTGTCATGGGGAATATTAATTGTCACTACAAAAAGCTTTGCTAATAATCCTCACAATAAACTTTTTTTCCAGTCCATTTCTGTTCCTACTTATAAGCATTTTACAGTTTTTCATTCGCCTTTTTCCCACTGTTGTTTTAACCAATCTAATCACCTTTGTTTGAAACAAAAATCAAGCCTCTACTATTATTTTCACTTTTGAGATTTTATAAAATTAACCAGTCTTATTTCCCAGGTAATAGGATGTTTCAAATTAATGCACTCTTGGTACACTTTTCCATATGAGTGAGAAAGACTGAGTATTTAATATTTACAAAATCTTTTCTAAGTGTGTAGTATGCAGCAATAATAAACAACAAAGATGGCCTTGGCATTGTTACGTAGAAAGAAACCATTTTATCACCTTACCAGTTCACTCAGATTCAAAAGACTTGGGTTAGGGAAATAAATTTCTCTTTTTATCTCTACAAATAGCAAAAGAACCCCCCCCCCAAAAAAAAAACTGCATATAGTTATTCTATGAGACTTTCAATTCAAAGCTACTTCCAAAAATTACTTTGTATTGTTATATAGAGGTCGACAAATTTTTAGCTGGGAAAAGCAAATAAAGGAAAAGCGTAGCAGGGAGCTAAGAGAGTTGTATTCAAATTTATATTCTATCTTGGGTTCCAATTTTTAACTTTCATTGGCATTTTATTAACTGGTAGTAGTTTACAACACTGTTTTCATGGCAATCATTCTAAATTAGTTATGAGAAGACATGAGGATGGATGTTTAGTACTAGACCCATTAGGCCAATAAATTAAGCTCTAAGTCAAGGTAAAAAAAATATCTATGCCTATTCGCTCACCCAACACGTATTTATGGAAACCCTAGTCTGTGTACAGTGCTCAGTGAAGTGTGTAGGGGAGGGAAAACTTTCCTTCCACCCTCTGAGGGTGTAATAATTGACTCCATGAGCTAAACTGATAGCAGGAAGATTAACAAGAGAAAAGATGAACATATTTACCGTGTGCACGGGGACATCATAGGAAAGAAAAGTGAAAATCCAAACCCAGTGAGATCTAGAAGCGTATGTACCCTCTTCACAGGGGACAAGGTGGGGAATGCAGGCAACTTAGGGGAGAAGTGATTTTAGGGAAAGACCAAAGAGCCCTCAGAACAACTGGCCTGTGACAAACTCTGTGCATGGTATCACCTCCCGTGTCCTCGCCTGTGATCTGAGTTAATTCCTCCTGGTTCACGAATTCCTTTTGGAGGATCTGTCTCTAGGCAGAAAGGCGAGTTCAGAGAAAAGCCCCTGCCTGCATGTGCTGGTCCCCAAGAGCCCTCAGTTGGAATTAATCAGCATACCGAAGAGGCATATTTTGGGATGGCATTATCTAAACTTTTTCATGTGCAACAGGAAATAATTAGAAATATTTAAGACAAAGCTTGTCCTCAAGGAGCTTATAAAAAAATTGTCAGAATAAATCAGGTAAAAAGGTTGGATGGCCATTATGAACACAGTGTTCTTATAAAAAAGACAACTGAGGCAGGAGGATGACTTGAGCCCAGGAGTTCGAGGTTACAGGGAGCTACGATTGTGCCACCACACTCTGTCGTCCAGCCTGGGTGACAGAGTGTGACCTGTCTCTAAAACAACAACAACAAAGACAAACCTGATACCACGTTCATACTTGAATAAAGACTGTAAGAATATACACCATAACCTCTGAAGAGTGAGATTATAGGGCCTTTTAGTTTTCTATACTTTCTTTTCTTATTTCAAGAAAATATGAGAGTACAAACATTTTGGTTGCATTTTATACCTTTGCCTCTCCCTAGCTAGGGTTAGAGGTATGCCCTTCCCCTCCACAATGCTCACCACATCCCTCAGATGTGATGATTTGGATATTTTTAGAAATATATATTATTTTTGTAATCAGGAAAAAAATCAAAATCAAAACAAATGTCTGTGAATAAACACTGCAAGGAAGCAAGTGAATATAAAATATTTGTTCATTTAGGTTGTTGGTGGCTTATGAGTGGATTTCTATCTGTTTTAAGTTACTGTACTGTTCTAGCAGAATTTTAATGACAGATTTAATTCAACAATAAAAGAAGTGCATGGAAATTTTAAGTCGTTTGATTTGAATAATTTTGTGTTAGGAACAAAGGCGTCGCAGCCATTTTTATTTCTAGCTAAAGAGTGGGGTAGTGACAGAAATTAAGGTGTGACCTCTATTCCTGTTTGTAATCTACTTTTTCCAACTCTTGTATGATGTCCAGTCTAGATGGAAAACGGTAGAACAAACCTTTGTCAGCCTACTTGCCATGATCTGTTTCATTCCTACCTATTATTTGGGTAACTCTTCTACTGTCATTAAAATGGAACATAGTCATTTATGGTTCCCTAATTTCTAAATGCTTTCGTAATGTTAACGTGCTACTCTGAAAGAAACAAAGAAAATTAAAACGATTCCTGGCTATATTTCAGAAAAGCCCCAGCAGCCTTGACCTTCGTGTTTCGAGACTGCCAGATGAAATGGAAGAGGGGCCTTCTTCACTTCAGCAAGTCCTAGTTACATCACTGACCATTTTTCAAATCCTGTAATCTTGTTTTTAGTGTCACTTTAAGCTGATTCATCTTTTCAGAGATGGCACAGATAGTGGTATCTCTGTAGCTTTTCTTATTTAATACAACTCAACTGTCATTTTAAGTGAAAAAATTCTGATGGAGCATGAGAAATTTTCTGTTAATGAAGGCTTATGTCCTTCTGGCCATGAACAAGAGGTGTCTGGTACTTGCTAACTCTGCTGAAAACCCGTATTATTTTGTAAAGTTAATTGTGGATTTCCAAGTAGCCTTTAAGCACTAGTAAATTCATTTACTCATTTTGCAAGAGGAGGGGGCAGGAAAGGCTCTCTGTCAAAGTCCCATTCCACAAACCAAACAATGCAGGAATTGAGTAAGGAACATCCTTATCAGTTATTCTAGTTTGAATTAAGGCTTGACTCAAAATTTCATTTACATGGTAGTTGTGTTTAGATTTGAGACTCATTTACATTTTTCTTGATAACGATATTAACATACTTCTGTTTCTTAAAGTTATATTCATCAGAGTCCTGAAAAAGGACACTCTAAAGTTAAAAACTAGGTCTAGAATGTGGCACTGGACATCAACAAAGATACACGCCCCTACATGCCCCTGCATGGTTATTGTACTGCAGTGGGATACAGACATGGTTATTGTACTGCAGTGGGATACAGGTGTTAAGGTGAGACCCACGTGGTCTCTGCGTGTAGCCGGCATGACTCCACGTCACCGAACAGGAGGGAGCAGAGCAGGCCAGGCACGTGTGGGAGGCACAGGGTTCACTTAGATTTAAAATGTCTTTAGAAGCGAACATCTAGCAAAGCGACTTATGAACTTTAGAAAGAACTGTTTTACTTTATTTTTGTTTAAAGCACCATACCTTTATTCTTACGTACAACTAAAAATTTAAGTTGAAATAAAGTATCGGTGAAGTTCTTAATTACAGAGAAGAAAATACCTTCATTTAAAAAGTCAAATAAGAAAAAACTTCTTGGCTCTGTAGTAAACCAAACTGGCTCTTAAATTATTATCTTAACAAATTAACATCACCTGGAAATACCAACTTCTAGTGGTATTTGGGATGGTAAGTTACAGAGCTCACCCCCCAAAGCAAAATTAACCACTAGTCAGTTTCCTTTGATTTCAGCTGTGGCTTTATGAATGAAGGCAACGTTCAACAAAGAACCCATAAAATGAAATGATGCGGACCAACCTTTTATTGCACCCACAATATTTTGGTCTAGTCCTTTCCGGTTGTCATTGAGTCCTCTTTTCCTCTTCCCATTAGGTAAGGAGTTAGCCAAAGTCTTGTCATCAAAAAATGCACACACCAGTTTTCTAAACAGAAGGCTTCCTGAGCGAGTGTAGTTTGACAATATAGAGTCCAGCTGAGATTTAGGCATAAACACATCAAAGCCTTCAGCAAGTTGCACTTCTGGCTACCAAAAGAACATAAATATTTCATTAAAAGCAAGATTTGAAGCATTTGACTTTGGGCATATGTACCACAAACCAACCAACCAACCAACCAACCAACCAACCAACCAACCAACCAACCAACCAACCACACTAGCTATTGAAGTGTTCATATCCCACAAATAAAACAGTTTCAGTTCTGTGCGCCAATATTTGCAATTTACAAATCCAGTGAGTAGATATAATTCACAAAACAAGATGCTCTAATTCCAATGTTAAGTCTTGTCAAAAGCAATGGAAAGGAAGTAGGCAAGAGAAGGCTGGATAACTACAAAACCATACCATTCTAGAGCTAACAGGGAATTGAGACTTCTGGTTCAAACATTCTCATTTTGTAAACAAAGGAACGAAGGTCCAAAGAGATCGTAACAAAAATGACTTAAAAATAATCCAAGTGTGCTTGGTACATTACAATTTACAGATCACTTTCTCTTAGGAACTTAAGTTCTTTTCCTTAAGGACACAAATACAGGGCTACCTCACAGCCCCCTGGCTCTTTCTACTATGCCAGTGGCTTTTAGCTGTGGAATTATGTTTTCCCCCAATGAAAACTTATGTAAACTAATACATAAGTAAAAATATGAGCAGGTTCCCAGGCAGTTTAAATCCACCCCCACCCCTACTTTAGAGAGGAAAATCAGTGCACTAGTCACCCTGCTTCCCTGTTGGGGACTTCCTGACCTGGTGCCTTTGAGTTTGGACTCTACCATACGACACCAACAATGCAGTCTCCATCGGCACACATGGAGGTTTCCAGCCTGCCTTTTCATCTTTCCACCCAGCTCATGTCCTTTCCTTTCCTTTTCAGAGCCTTTCCTAACTCATTCCTACTCATGGAGATGGCTATGTGCTCTGTTCCCACTGTTCGTTTAACAGATGTACGTGACTGAATTAATTCATACTGTATAGGAATTATTTATTAAATTGCAGCCCTTCCTGATCCCAGAACCCACTCTGTATCTCCAAGATCTGGCACATAGTAGGCACTCAATAAATTCTTGTTGGACAGATAATAGTTCATCAGTCATAATCTAAACTACTAAGTAATTTAATGAGTTTAGTGCTGGTTATAATGTGGTAGCTTTAGAATAATAACCTTAATATGAAGAAATGCAATTGATAAACTTCTACTAGGAGAAACGTCAGACATGCTATCAAAGCTGATTCTCCGATCTTGTACCTATCACTTTGCAAACCGGGCACTGTTTTAGATTTTCTAAATCATATTAGAAATGTCAGGATTTAGGATTAGTTTCTCTCCTGTAGAATAGGAATGATTATTTTTGTTTTTCTTTTATTGCTTTTCAACGTGTCCGGCACACTATGGTCAGAGCAAACAGTGCTTGGAGCACTTAAATTATTCGGATGACACAGGAAGGAGTTTGGGGCCCTTCAAAATGGCATTTTTGACTGAATTATCCTGAAAGTCATCTCGTTTCTCCGCTTCACTTTGCCACTCAACGTGTGGTCTCTGAATGCTTGGTAAATATCACTATAAAAACTGTGCCATCAGATTTTTTTCTCTGACTTCTGCATCTTGCTGCCAACTGGTCACAGGTCTGCAGAGGAGACTGTCTGGAGCCAGAGGCTGTGTCCCTAATTCTTAGAACAGAGATGGCACAAACCAGACACTCAGTAAGTATTTGTTGAATGAGTCAGTGCAGAAATATTAGGATTAAGAGAACTTTACCATCATAATCTAAGATAAAGTTTTATTTATAACCACAATTTTATTCTGCACCTCCTATGGCTGCCTGTAGAGTTTTTGTTCTAAAGGAACTCATCTCAGATTTTTGCTAAGCCGCTCCTGTTTCATTTGAAAGCTATTAAAAAAACCCAAGTTTATCTTCTAGAAGCAGCTACTCACAGCTATTTGAGGGTATAGGGTGGTACAGAAACTCTTAATTGCAAGAGCAGGAAGAAAAGGACATCAACTTATTCGTATAACCCTTAGTTTGATTCTGATGCCATTAAACGTGTGCTTAAAACCCAGCCGCCTGACCTGTGAGACACCTGCTTTGATTTATCCTGTGGAACTTGGACTTGAGCAACCCTGGCCTGAATGATCCCTCAGGCAGAACTAGCCACTCCCGTCTTCATGCACTCACGGTGTCTTCTATGAACGCTGACACTTTTCACACTGCATGCACTTAGCTGCGAGTTTGGGTTTCTCACAGGAATGGGGTTTGTATCTCGAGTGCCAACCACCCAGATAGTGTCTAGTGGATATTTGTCAGAATAAACAAAACACTATGCAGGAATTCATTCTAAATGATAAGTGTTGATTCAGAGACCTTTTAACCCTATATAAAGGAAGTGGGTTTCAAAGTCTGCGACGCCGTGGCTTAGCACACTGACTTCTAGAGTAGTTCATGTGCCAACTCCAGGAGTTAGGCTGCCTGGAGAAAACTAACCCGACTAACTATTCACTGAGCACCTTCTGTGTGCAGGAATCCGAAGGCTGGCTCTGCAGGTGAGACATAACATCAATACCTGTCCTACAAATAGAACGTGATACATACTACAGGAGAGGTTACTATCTGCTTTCTGTTTTCTCCTCTGGACTTTCAGCAAACATCCAAAGATTCATGGCTAAGAAATAATAAAAGATGGGAGGACACCTAAATTTGGATGCCCTGGCATCAGTGGTCCCTTCACCTGCGGGAGTTGATCCCCACTCCCACCCTGGCCCTGGGCTGCGGGGGTCAGCCTCACAGTGGCCGTGAGCGCCACCCACAGACAGCGTCTCCTCATCTGACGCTGGGACTTGTGGCATGTTTTCTAGAACAGTTATAGTTTCTGCCGGAGAGATGAATCGCATGGGTGTCTGCTGGGCAATGTGAAGATAAGATCCATACAGACCTTTTGCTTTTCTTTAGAAGCATGTTATTCTCCTGAGTTTTCACAACAGTGCTGAATGTGCTTTATCAAATTTAATAGCTTTTGTTAACAAAAATCATGAACAAAAAGTAAACTATTTTGATATACTATATAAATAAAATTACAATACTGATATTGGTGAAGATAATAAAAATTGTATTCTCTTCTATTTCGCTAATGTACATAAAGCCTTTATTAGACCTTCCTCAATTTATCACTGAAGTACATCTGGAGCTTAAAAATCAAACAAAGGAGAAGGTTCAGTTATTAGCATTAGATCAACCATCTGGGGGTTGATTTATACAACTTAAACTATTGCTCCATCAATGTCTATAGAAAAAGTGCCTAGAAAATTTAAAGAAAATATAAAATATGATGAAAACTACTTAGGACTGAATGTGTTGTGTTGTGGCTTAATTTACCTGTTTCCAAATCTGTGATCTACCTGGGGTTTGAACCGCAGCCTTAGTTGCAATCACAACATGATAAATGAGCTGACTAGTCCAGGGTAGAACATTATCATCATTAATGGCTTTTTAAATTAAATTTTTAGTCTAGAAGAACTTCTTAACAGTTCTTTTAGCATGTGTTCAAAGATTTGAAAAATACCCATTTACACCAAGGATTGGATAAAAGTTCAAATGATTTTCTAATCTAAAAAAGTCACAAAATGATTATTTTTGTCATCTCCCTTTATTAAATAGTCAATGTGGATATCTGCTGGCAAACTGTCTTCCCACAATTTGAAAAGGAGCACTTTTAAAAAAAACAGCAATTTGTTTCCTACTTAAAGTTTGAAAGGTAGGGCCGAACTCCAATCCTGTACAGGCCCGTGGGAGTTCTCCCCAGGGTTCTCATCCTATGCAATCTGATAATAATAGATCACTCATTCTTGTTTATTTTAAGACCTCTCTCAACAAGTTGGGGTTCGTGACATAAATGCACTTAGATAAAGCTATCATGAACAGAGAATGCAATTGCCAATATAGCACATTATTAAAGAAATTCATTTATGGTCCTATGAATGTAAAATGGCAAGTCAGACGGTTATCTCAGATGTCATCCAACATCCTGGACTGCAACAATGTTCTAGCCATGGTATTAAAATAGAAAAACCTTTGCAGAGCGTTAACCTATCATTACACAGAGTAAATGGCATGGCACTGCCACCTAATTAGCAGTGTGGCTTGCATCTATAAAATGGAATTAGCACAACTGCTCCTTTTTTATTATTAGTTTGTGTTTCCAGAAAGGTATGACCTTATCTGCATGGGTCTGTTCATTTATGCCCATCTACAGAGGATTTAATTATATTCTTTTAGTTCTCTACACTAAGGAAATTGAAAACTGCCACTTCGAAATTAAAAATGTAAAGGAAATTAGTGAGCAGATTATTTATGCCACAGACCTTCTTTTTTTCAGGGATAAATAATGGAAACATGTTGAAATAAATAAGGAATAACATTTTCAGAGACGAACATTCTAGGCAAGGAGATTATTACTAGTTGTCTTTCTCTCTTTCCTACATGCATTCTGCAAGTTTCTCTAGCTGTCTTGGGCAGAACTAGTCAAGGGGAAAATGGATCACTACTATAAAATTCCTGAAAGTTACATCACTTCAGAGACAGCAGCCAGAAAATATCGACTTACATCTGAGGAAGGTGATTCCAGAACAATGCCGAATCCCACAACGTGGCTGTCCTCCGTGGGGGCGCGCTCGGCCGCGTGGAGACCGGACTGCTCTGAGGCCACAGCTGTCTTCTTCTCTATTTCCGACACGCTGGGCTTTTGTTTCACAGTAAGAGGTTCGACAGTCTTCGGGGCAACTTTTTTCTTTTTATTTCTCTTGCGTGAGACAGCAGTTCGCTGGGAGCATATAAGGGAAATTGGGGGTTGTTGTCTGTTTTGAGTTCCAACTGTGAACAATAAACAAAAATACGGTACAGGCAGTTGTGTCTAACTTAGGGAAACTTATCCCCGGTCTATCTCTTGTGATCTATGAATCGAAACTGCAAGGCGGCTCGCTCAAGGATGAAGCACACCAAAGAAACGGCCCAGTGGACTTAAAGGCTCCCAAACGCAGCCTCAGAGCACTTTAAAGTCCTGAAGGCAGAAAAACACCCAGGAGAAAACTTTGCTCTAAGTGCCGTGAATCGTTGCGGTGCATTGCTGCTGCCGGGTCCCATGGAGGGAAAGGATGACCGGCTATGAGAAGATGCTGAGCGCGACTTTACTCATGCGACACTGTTAAATAAACGAGAACTCGGGGAACTTACATTCAGGTCCATGCTTTCTGATAAACCCATTGCGGGAATACCCCTACTGTCATCTGGGGTAAAACTGATCGCTTGCTAACAATCTACAGGTGCCAAGATTGACAAAGATGAGATGATGATCATTTGGTCAAGACTGATTGAAAGAAGAGGTTTGGAAGGATTCTGTAACAGGGACCAGTAAGCACGGGGAAAAGTCTGTTAGTTGGGGCCGGTAACCCCTTCTTCACCAAACAAATATTCCACACAACTATCTGCGGAGCACCCTGCTACCTGCTTTCAGATCAGACCACTTCTCTGGACCTCGGTTTTACACAGTTGAAAAATACAAACAATATAGTTCTGTGCAAATCAAGCCAATCAGTAGGATCTACAAACAGTCTGAGTTCCAAAGATGAAAAGCACAGTACAAAGTTACTCAAACTAAATATATATTTAAATCCAGGATGGTAAATCCAGTTTTCACAGGTACACTCTGAGAAGTAATGTTTGTAACCATTAAAAAAATACTGAGAGAAAGCGTGCCTGGAAGATAGGCCATCATTATTTAAATCCTCATGTATTAATACAGCTTCTTAAATACGACCACAGGATATACCTGCTTTTTAACAGAAATGAACTCATACATGTAAGTCAAGTGAAAACCAAAGGCACATGAACATGGATCACTTTTACTTGTTTCCTATCAGTCTGAAAATATAGAAAATGTACACTTTGATCCTGATATTTTTGGCTGCAGACTAGAAAGCCATTCATAAGTATTAGGAACAAACATGGTTGCACTACGTGAGAACACAGAAAAGTTTTCACACCAGTAATTTGCCTGGTGTAAAGAACGCCCTGGTTCTTGACCTTGGCTGCACATCCGAATTACGCTGGACTTAAAAAAATACTTGGGATGTCTTAGCCCCAGCCCAGAGGGAGGGAGTCGGCATCTCCAAGGGTGGGGCTGGGACCTCAGCACTGTGCGGCCAGAGCTGAGAGCTTCTTGCTGTCTGTGTCCCCGGAGTTAAAGGGGCCACGAAGCAAACATCGTGACGATCTAGGCCACAGGCCTCCCTAAGCCTCATGATTCTAAATGAAAAGTGAAAATGTTTTTGGTTTAAAGAACACAGGGACTATCTTAAGTTATTCTTCTCCTTTTGTGCATCTAGACATAGCCCAAGCCTCTGGCATCCAGATCTTAACGCTTGTCTTAACATAAAGGTGAAACTTTCGAAATGTAATTTAAATCTAAGTCTTTAGGCCATAAACCTTAAGTAAATCTACCCGCAAGACGCAAATTTTTTAAGTTTAAGAAAATTAAAGGAGAGCAATTTATTCGGTTTATCCTTTCTGCCAGCCCACAGCTTTGGAATCATTTACCTCCCTAATCTGCAAAGGTTCAGAAAAGAAAACACAGTGACAAAGTGGCATTTACTTAATAGATTCTAAAAGGGCTTCAGTCAAGGATTTAAATGGTTGTGATCTGTGGTTTGCCATTTCAGTAGTAAGGAGCTTAGGTGACAAAATAAATCATTACAATTTCATATGCATATTTCCTTAAGTGCTAAAAAATTCTTCCTCTGAGAAAAGAATCCATGTATAATAAAGTAACCTTTCTTTCTGAGTTCCTTATTTAGGAGATGTTAGCCTTTGCTGGGCTATAAGAACATAGGTTATCGTGGTGGAACAAGGTCTTACTGACTTGAGCAAAATGCTTATTATTTCCTTGGGAAAAAACCAAATCCAGTACTTAAAAAGCCACCACTTTTCAGAAAGTAGCTCACCTTACTTCAATGTGATCTTGGGTGATTGATACGTCTAAGTATGAAGCTTTCTATATCAAAACCACATCACTGAATATTAAAATTTTACTAGAATTCACCAAATGGTACCGAGAGCAGTTTCTGAATGATGACCTTCCTGAATCCCATTACAGTGACAGGTGGGAAAGCCAGGCCTGACACACTGTGCTGTCAGCTTTCCTGCCTTACAATGAGACCAAGGAGCCGTTTCCCCTGACAAAATGGAAGCCTTAATGAAATTATATTAGTATTTCTTGTACCTGTGACAGAAAAACTGTTTCCCCCCCATTGTGAAGCTTAGAAAATATAGTCGCTATAATGAAGGCCTAGACTTCCAACTTCCATGGAGTGTTCCAAGGTCTTTAAGCGACACTACTGAAATAGATCACACTTCCATGAAGCCTTACAAAGTTCGTTTACGCCTACTATCTCATTCTATTTCGAAAACAACCTCCTGAGTTAGATATTAATACCCCATTTACAGGAGAGAAATCGGAAGCTCAGAGAAGTCACGCAGCTATAAAGAGGAGACCCTGGGTGTCCAATCCCAAACTGCAAACTCGCCTAACTTGTAGTGAGAACACGAGAGGAGTCACATAAATCAAGAAGACAGCTCTGAGCTTCTGTAACCTGGACAGGGAGAGAAAGCCACAAGCCAAGCCCGGGGCTCAGCATTTCTTGTCTGCTTACGTCCCTGAACGTCTTCAGCAGTGGAGGCCGGGCTTCCTAAAGGACTCCTCCATGTGTCATTGTTCCAAAATTTAATTAACTGGCATTTGTGAAGTGTCAGAAGATCACGGGATGAAGTATACTGAGGACATGCGTGTAAGTACATGAGTTGTATTAGTATCGCTAACAAATCTGTTTGACTTGCTAAAGGAAAAATGGGTTGTAGAAAAGGCTACGAGAACACATACTTGGAAAGGCACAGCAAGACAGCAAGGTGGGAAGAACGCTATAATAAAAGCACAATGAACATCCCAATGGAAGACGTCAGATATGCATTAAAACTCAAAGGGCTCCTTCTGAGGCATGATCCTTGTACCTGCTTGAATTTGCATTAATTTCCTCATGGTCTTGAGTTCTTGCAGAATGGCCTGCAACGTTGACTGGCAGTTACAAGTGCAGCAGTTTGATCCACCTGATGAATTCACCACTGGAAGTTCTCCTGAGCACGAAAGAAAAGAATGACATACTCCAAACAACCGAAAAAAAGAAAAAAAAGCATAAAGAGTGGGAGAAAAAAAAAAGACAGTGTCTTGACAGGATATCAAAGCATGTGCAATTATTATGACGCTGTGCCTAAGGAAAATGTGCCCAATGATTTTCAAAACCTAAATTTTGGAGTCCAACTTTATCTAATGACCCAGGCTCCTACGCTGTGAGGTGGACGCTGTGTCCTGGTGGCAGAGCCCGCGTGAACACGTGCACACGACGTGCGGGCACAGTAGGCCTCCCTGTTTGTTGTCAGACCAGCTCATCTCCCATACCAATGCCAGCAAAACTCACTTTAACCACATGCATGCTAGTTTGCATAAAAAACTAGCTCTAAGAACAGACTTACAAAAAAAAAAATTGGTAGCTGTGTATGAGAGATCATATCAAGAATTAAGTGTCTAACTATTAAAAATAGTGAAGCTTTCAGAATAGTCCCTGGGTGTCGCTGTCTGGGGTGGGGACGCGCAGAGGAGTGGGCTATGTGTGGGAGGATGTATCGTAACCTGCTGGCTCGGAGGATGTTGGCGGGTTGGCTTTGCTCACACTGTACTGAAGGAAATCCTCCTACAACTTTTCTCCAGTTCCGTTTATTATATTTCGCTCACCACAGCCTCTTTTTCACTGTTTCAATTTAATAAAACTATCCTGTTTCCCTTATATGTAAACAAACATCTTCCTGTTGTCCCTGGAACAAAATGGAACACTGGCAACTTGCTCTTACGGTGGGGCTCCCTCCAGCCCCACTGTCCTCCCCACTGCTGCAAAAGGAGCGGCTGGTGTTCTCGTAGGGGAGCAAGGTGAGCTCTGTGGCTTAGTTCCAACTGTATGATTTACTGCACATTAAATATAACTTAAGTCCTATAATATGCATTATTTGGGAATACTATAGAAAAATTCACCACGGCAAAACCATGAAATACTTAAAGATAACTTAATGCCTTGGAGTAGTATAATTGTTTACATTCAAAATCATAGCAAACTGGGATGCTTACAACTTTAAAATCACAAAAAATGCCAATGAAATACCTGAGTGGTCATGGTTATACATAATGCGTTTTTATCGAAAGTATATGACCAATATCTCTGTTTTCAAACTGATAATGGGGGAGCTTACGTTTGTAACTTTTATTAACATTCATAACACTTTCCAAAGTAAATCCACCAGGTATACTGGCAAATAGAACACTGTTTACCCAACTATCGATGTGGGGTTTACTAACTTTATACATACCTAAGGATATTTTATTTCTCTTATTGGTAGTAGAGTTAGGAAGGTCTTATAAAATATTCCTAGTTACCATTCTAAGTACATCTTTAGCATTTTTGAAAGACAAAACCAACCTTTTTCAGCTCATTATAAATCATTTTCTAATTTTAAAGGGGACTGACTTTTTATTTTTATGGAAGAGTCTTTAAAGAGCCATCTCCCTCTAACCTGGAAGCCAGCCAGCACGTGAACTTGATACTGGCTTATGTAATATTGAGAGAAAGAGAAGACACCCGTACACCTCTGGGGTCCCTCGCTACCTCACTGGTGTCTCGGGTGGCTTTTCATGCCTCTGAAATGGTTACTGCAAATTGCAGGGTTGTTCCTTTAAAATCAAAACAGTTCTCTTTTTCTTAAAGGATATCCTGAAATGACAATGAATGAAAAAAAATCCTTAGCTTTTCAAAGAAACTGAAAATGCTTTTCTGTTTCTCTTGTTCTCTTTGTGAAAACTATAGATCTGCACATCTATACATAATTTATAGAACAAGTACCATCCAATGGAAAACTAATATGAACAGAAGCATCAACTTTTTCCCCTTAAGCTGTGAAAAAAAATTGTCATTTGATTTTTTTCTTAACAATCAGGAAATTTAAATTAAAGAAACTTTAAAGGATAATTTTTCAATGCAAATGAAGCTAGTTATAAAATATGGATCATTTATTTGTTCAGTACTGGAACAGGAGGCTCAAGCCACAGCGTAGGGGGTACTGGGTTATCTGCCTTTACCTACAACTCTTGTGATCATGAGAAAACCCAAGAAGTAGAGAAGAAGGCATATTAACAATTCGCCATATGACCAGGGAGCTTCTTTTAATGGCCACAGGGAGCTCTTTCTGCCCTAATGTTCAGCCTTTTGTGATAATAACATCTGTATGTAGGTAAATGATACCTTAACTTCTTAAAGGGCTGAAATCTCTACTAGGAAATTTTCATTGGTAATATTGAAACCTCCCCCAATCTTTCCTGATTTTCCATGCTGTTTTTTATACTCTTCAATGTTTTCCTTTATGCTTTCCTTGCCTGTTAAAATAACTCAGTGAAGGCAGGTGACTGAGGGTTTAGGCTGGGACAGGTGGCTCATGCCTGTAATCCCAGCACTTTGGGAGTCTGAGGTGGGAGGACTGCTTGAGGCCAGGAGTTTCAGACCAGCCTGGGGAACATAGCAAGACCCTCATCTCTACCAAAAATAGGAAAATTAGCCAGGTGTGGTAGTGTGCACCTGTAGTCCCAGGTACTCAGGAGGCGGAGGCAGGAAGATTCCCTGAGCCTAGGAATTGGAGGTTGCAGTGAGCTGTGATCACACCGCTGCACTCCAGTCTGAGTAACAGAGTGAGACTGTCTCTCACAAACACATACACAAAAATAGGGAAGGGTTTAATAAATTCAATTCAAAGAACATATTGAATATTCAGAAATAAAACATGCCAGTACAAACCCTCGTGAGGGCATTCTGAATGTCTGATGATAACCATACCGTTGGAGCTCGCAGAGGGGTGGGGCTGGGTCTGGAAGGTTCTAGAACGGGTGCCGTACTGCCCTGAGAACTGCCCGCTTTGGGGCGGTAGCTCATTCCACGCACCACGTGTAGACGGGTGGAGGCTCGGTGGGGCCTCAGTGGACGAGTTCAGACGTGGGGGCCAGACTAAGTCCACATCCTGGGGCTCTTCTTTTAATTTCTCTCCTTCTTTGCCAACTCGCTGATAAATCCTCCCAGCACTGTCATTCAGCAATCTTCTCATTCCTGTAATTTGTTTTTTAATTTCCATGCTTTCATCTCCTAATGGAAAAAGGTCCAGAATTAGCACTGTAAATTAGCAAAAGAGAAAAATAGTCTACTATTTAAAAAGAAAGAAAGAAAAAGGTTAAAAGGTCCACCTTTCTCTGGAAATGGGAAAGATGACTGATTCTCTAAATGTAAATAATCCATAAAAATCAAAGCAGGGAAACTGGCTATGGTTTGAAGAAACCAATCATATTCCCGGTGCATGTCACTGTAATCTCTTTCTGGCCAAGTTCTCTTATGATAAAAGACATTTCCTCAGTGTGTGTCAACAGGGATAAACTTTAAATTCCCTCTTTGGAAGTATTTTCAGAGTGAGGCTGTCATAAGAAAACAGGCTGAGCTGGGAGACCAAGGGTGGGGTTGGGATGCTGAACTCCTCTGCTCTGATCTGCCACGGCCACCCCTTTGTCACGGAAACCCAAGGCAGGCAGGCTGGGCTTGTCAGCCTCAGCACGCAGGGGGAAGACAGGGAAGAACGCATGGGATTCGCTGGGATTCGGGGCCTTCTGGGAGTGGGCTGTGTGGCAAACCAGCAGGATGGCACCCTGTTGGAAGAGATATCACCTTCAAGAAGAATGACAGAGGAGACAGAGATGTACCAAGTGTCAGCGTGGCAAGCAACGAGGGCTTTGTCTGTCTCATGCTCTGACTCAATCACATCAGCCTGGGGATATCAAGGGGTCCCTGCCCGCTCCAGGTGACTGGCTGCATGGGTACCAGAGAGACAGAAGTGCAGCCTCCGCGCCCGTCCTCCTCCCAGGCCAAACTCCCCACCCTGGACTCGCCCACGCCAAACCCACTGCCATCTCCTCTAAAGTTTAACTACCCAACTGCACGCAAGAGTAAAGAAAGAGACTGTGTCTAAATCCCACCTCACCTACAGTGACTTCTTTTTCTAAGATTCTTTTTCCCTCAGGGGATTTTTTTTTTTTAACCAAAATATTTCTATCCTGCACTAGGGGTACTTAATAAATATTACTTAAGATCACTAAAAAAATTGTACATATATGAAATATTTTCTATTAACAATATTAGAGGATGGTGATACCTATTAGGAACTATTTCAAACATACTCTCTTCTTAACTGTGCATCAGCCAGTAGATTTTTTTCCTTTAGCCCAGGCATTAAAATAAAAGTCTTAGGCCATGGGATATAGACACACTCATGCAGTCACTCCACTAAATGCCTGAAATTTAGACTGTGAGAAAAAGAGAAGGCCAACAGAAAGTATCTATTAGGAAAAACACAGCTCCTATAAATGAATACGGTACATTTGATATAATGATGTTTTAACACACTTAAGATCATAATGACCCAGATTTCTACGCAGAACTGCTAATTGCATAATAACCTAGGTATTTTGTGTTATCTAGATATTTAGCTTATTAATTATATACATATTACAATACTAAATGGGGCAATTTATATACTATTTTGAGATAAGTACCTTCAATTTTTAAAAATGCTAATAAACACATTAATTTGGTCTTTAATATTGAACATGGGAGAATACAGAAACAACACAGATCTCCACATTTATAATACTGCTATGTGTTGGCATATGCTTGAGAGAAGCGTTTTAATTTGCAATAAAACTACTTCTACTTTAAACACCTGTGAAAATGACAATACAGAAGCAATAAATCATATTCCAGATTTTATGAGAACGAATGACCAAAGCGCGATTTAGATAACTCGGAGTCGGCACAATTTACAACTTCCTCGAGGTGTGTCTGGAGCGGGGTGTGTCTGGAAGGGCTCCCAGGGGAATTGAGAAAGATGAACCCACAGGCAAATGCGGTGTTAATTTCAGCATCCAGACGTGTAACCTTCCCGGCTAGCTAGCAGCACCATTCCGGCAAGAGGAAGCATCGTTCCTGTGCCATTTCCACCCTCGACCCTCTCGATATGGCTGGTCAGGTGACACCAGAGTCTGCAACCTGGGGCAGGTCTCCATTGGCACAGGCTGGTGGCCGCCCCCCTCGGAGCCCCCTGGAAAGAGCCACCACCGCCAGGCCACGCGGGAGCAGGCACCCTGCTGGTTGCTGAGCCAGCGCCAACTTGGTGCTCCACCTGCGCCGGGCACATCCCAGGAAAAGGGATGCGTCTCCTGTCAAAGGTTCCACTTCTGCTCTGCAGATAGAATTCTATGATAAATTCCTATCATTAGGAAAAGGAAAAAGTCACAGGGATTCTGGACCCTTCTAAGGGCAACTCTGCTTTGCCATGACCTTAGTTTCAGAGTTCCAGAACTTAGGTCAATGAATATCAGAAGACTAAAAATATTATACAAATTGAACTTCACTTAACTTTTTATTTTCCAGGTGACAACCAGAATCTTACGCAGCAGGCGGAGAGGAGGAAAGAAGGCGACAGGTGTGAGCGAGGTTCTGTTGGCGGGCTGCCCCACGATGCTCGGAAGCATGGCTTTCATGGGCAAAACAAGAACTAAACGACGGAACGGCAACGACAAAACAGGGACCCGGGGGCAGAGAGGAAAGAAACGGGGCCGATAACTTGGAAGATGCCAGAAGGCCAGGGGTTAGGCCTGACCGACCCTATGTGGAAGAGTGCTCACGGCCTACCTCCCTGCAGGGCATTTGAAAGGACAGAAAATAGGAAACTGCAATCACTCTGCTCGGAGAGGAAGATTGAGAGAAGGTGGCGGGGCTTGGGCTGGAGGTGGAGGAGGCTGAAGGTGGAGGAGGTGCTCGGGCTCCATTCCTCGGAGGACACAGGCTCCCTTGCCCTCCTGGGACAGAGAGGACAGAGGGGACAGAGGGGCAGAAAGGAGGCCTGAGGCCTCCAAGAGTGGAGTCAGCTGCATAGGCCCCGACAGCAGGCGTGGGCATGGTTCAGGGATGGCTAAGCGGGCACCCCGGAGGCCGGGACTCACTTCTCCACTGCACTCACTTGCTGCTGGACGTCACACAAGTCACTCGATATTCTCAGACTTTGGTTTCCTGAACTGCACGGGGCGGGTATGGGGGGGGGACCTGTGCCTCAAGGCCACATGCGGCCCTGCAGACCCCCAAGCGTGGTCCCTCGACCAAATCCCAACTTCACAGAACAAATCCCTTTATTATTATAAAGAGATTTACTCTGTAAAATTTGGATTCAGTCAAAAGGCCCCCACTCAAGGATCCAGAAGGCCACATGTGGCCCCAAGGCTGTGCACAGGTTCCCACCCTGTCAGAGGGTGGGTCACGTCCTGTGATTTTAACAAAAACAGTGGAAAGTATAAGCCTGACACTGGGAGCATTAGCTGACTTCTATTTGTCTTTCTAGTTCTAATCAGTTCATGTCTTCCCCACACATAGATACCAGGAAGAGGAAGCTCCTGGGAGCAATTCCTGATTTCTTTCTAAGCCTGTAATATGTCTTCACTTACACTCAACTTCAAGGGGCTGAATCGTTTTAGGAAAAACAAATAAAAAGACATCTTACTAAAATGGATCCATGCCATGTTGCTGCCTTACTGGTAAAATAAACTTAACTGAAACCTTTTTGAGAGTTTAGTAGTTATGCTTCTTGGACAAGATTTTAAAAAGACTGTGGACTGAATTCTCCCCATCACTGAATTTCAAGGCTCTACTAGATCACTTTCCTTTACATAAAACCATTATGTGATACACAGTCTTGCAGGAGCTGAACACAGAAGTCACCATGAAGGGTCTCCTTTAACTTGGCCAGGAGGGAAGGACGCACTTTCACAGAACATGACAGTGTTAATCAGGATAAAAGAAAAAAAGACGACCATATACACACACATACAGAGAGTGCAGTGAATGTTATAATTTTACCTTGCCTTGGCGTCAGTCACCACCTCTTGGTCACCATGTGGCCTCCCGCATCTTGCGCCTGCTTGCTTTAAAACTCCCTGTGGGAAGCCTGGTTGGATGACACCCTGGACCCAGTAATGGCACTGGTCCACGGGTCCCTCTTTGTCTCTCCCTGCCTGTGCTATCTGACTCTGTGTGTGTGGCCTCCAGGTGTGCCCGTGGACCCCCCCTCCCCAGTCTATAAGCACTTAAAACTCTAGGCCTTTTACACTGTGTTTGTGTCATTGGTGCCCATAATCCAATAAGGCCACCCTGGAGGGTCCCCCGCATGTGGATCCCTGCCTGAGCTCTTCTGTTCTGGCCTCCAGTGGCTGCTAAGGACGATAGTTACCAGCTAAGTTAGTAATGAAGCTCCAACAGTTTCATTGAAAACAGACCAAATATTGTATGTCCATCTATTAATATGTATGGCCTTCTCGTTATGAAAACTCATGAAGAACAGTCACCATCTCTGTGCCCTACAAATGAACTAGTGCTGATGTATAGCAGGCCTTCCATAATCCTTTTAGTAATTGAAAGAAATGGCTTATCAAAAACCGAATAAAGTCCAGTAGAATTAAACGCAACACTAAACAAACAATAGGAAAGAGTAAAAAGGTACCAGGAATAAATTATTCAACAACCATTTATCAAGCACTTCGTAAGCCTCAGAGATACAACGATCACTGGGTACAAACTGAAAGGTCCCCTCCCTTCCCGCAAATCTCTCAACATGTTTTTACCAAATCCCTTTATATGATTTGTTGCTCTGAAAAATGGTCCTGATATTCCCCAGATTAACCCCTACCTCTTTTAACTGTGTGCCCAGAACTCCCATTAGCAAACTGCCCCACTGTTGCGGAGGGCGCTTTCTCCTTCCTGGCTAGAGCTGACGCCGGCTCTTCCCTGCGTGTCCTGCTTTCCCTGCAGCCCCTGCAGGGAAATTATCCATTCTTCATTCCCACGGGGTGGGATGCATGCATCCATTTATTTAATAAATATTTATCACACTGCTACTAAGTACGAGACACCGTGTGAGCAAAAGAAAAGAAATATAACACATAGTCTCCTTGCTTTAGGAGTTTCCAGTGCAGCCTGGGAGACAAAGAGTGCGCAAGCGTGGCTGGATGGGACAGCCACAGCCAGGGCAGGGCAGGAGCACCTTCGAATCA